ATTATGTTGAAATATTTTCTCCTGTAGTAAAGATGGCTACTGTTAGAGTCATTCTTGTTATTGCCTCCATGTTTAATTGGTTTATTTATTAAATGGACGTCTTTAATGCCTTCTTGCAAGAGAATTTAGTTGAAGAGGTTTATATGGAGTTACCAACCGGTTTTTACAGCCTAGGGGAACGGATGGTATTTAGGTTACAAAAGTCCTTGTATGGCTTGAAACAGGCTTCAAGACAATGGAATGCGAAGCTGAAATATGTTTTGTTGAAGGTTGGTTATATACAAAGTAGGTATGATTATTCCTTATTTACAAAAAAAAAAAACAATGTGATAGGATTATGGTTTTACTCATATACGTGGATGATTTATTAATAGCTGACAACAATATGAGAACGATAAAGGAGCTCAAAGCGATATTGAACCAGAACTTCAAGATGACAGACTTGGATAATTTAAAATTCTTTCTTGCAAGTGATGAGGTCGAAAGAAGTTATCTTGCTAAATCAAAGAAAATATACGTAGGAGCTTATAAAAAATTGATTTGGGAGGAGCAAAGTCAGTACTAACACCCTTGGAGCATAATATTAAGCTGACCACGAATGAGTATGATGAAGCAAAACTTCAAAATGACAGCTTACTCGAGGACAAAAGGGTGTCTCAGAGATTAATTAGAAAGTTGATATATTTAATTCACACACGACCTGATATTATGTGCATTGTACATCACATCAATCAATTTATGCAATAACCAATTCAGACTCACATGGAAGCAACTACGTGGATTGTGAGGTACATCAAACAAAGTCCTGGGCAAGGCTTAATGTTTAAGGCTGCGAATGAGAAGCAAGTGATTGCTTATTGTGATTCGTTTTGGGCATCTTACCCAATTACAAGAAGATCTGTTGTCGGTTTTTGTATAAAGATTACTGATTCCTTAATTTTCTGTAAATCTAAAAAACAGAATATTATTGTAAGATCTTTTGCTGAAGCGGAATATATAGGAATAGTTGCCAGCAAAGGTTGCTGGTAGGGGTTGGAATTGACGATTTAAAGTCGATCAAACTGTTTGCAACAGGAGAACAACTCTTCAGATTGCGGTTAATCCAATCTTCCATGAACAAACCATACACATTGAAATTGATTGTCATTTCATCCGAGAGACGATTTGGGAGTGTTTAATACGCACAAAACACGTTTCTTTAACATAGCAACTAGTTGATATTATGACTAAAGCTCTACAGTCACAACAACATACTTATCTATGTTTCAAGTTGGGGGGTAAAGAACGTTTTTCACCCACCAACTTGAAGGGGAAGTGTAAAGGTTAAAAGATTCATAAGCACCGACGATTCTCTGAGTCAACATTTGATATAATGGATAAGCTATTACTATTTGTAAACGCAGCGCACTCAATTCTATAAATACCCCTAACCATCTCTCCGTCTAACCCAACAAACAAACAGACAGTAAACCATAATGGCTTCCACATATGCTACAATGGCTTCTTTCTCCTCTTCCTCTGCTCATTTTTTTGGGTTCCAAAGTTTCCATCAAGGAACAGTCCTCCTTGCCGACACGTATCCATTTCCGGAAACTTCGTATCTCCGCCGCTTGTTCATCAACCGCCGAGAGACCGGTTTCCCGCATTGCTTGTTCGCCATCTCTGTACGAGGTGTTGGGGATTCCGATGGGCGTCACGTGTGACGAAATCAAGGCTGCTTACCGGAGACTGGCTCGGGTTCTACACCCAGATGTATCGTCTAATGGTTGGAGCGACGCGGCGGGCAACGAGTTCATCAAAGTACACGAAGCGTACTCTACGCTATCGGATCCCGAAAAACGCGCCGGTTATGATCGAACGTTGTTGTTCAGGCCAACGCGTTCTTTTTGTCTTTCCGTCGAACCTACGTATTCTCCATTTTCTGGTTACACGAAGGGAACGTGGGAAACCGATCAATGTTGGTGATACTTGGGATGGACTCAGGAATTCAGAGATGGGTTTTTGGCTTTAGAGTATCATTACTAGACTGTACCATTACTATCTGTGAGAATATCATTACTTTTTTTTATTTGTTTTTGTAAGATTACAGTGTTTGATTAGAAGAATATAAGATTAGATGCATATTTTATTAAATTATTCTTGTAATATTTTTTTTTAAAGTTAAACTTTAATATTAATTTATAAATATTTAAATGAAAATTTATAAAAATATTTTAATCGTTATACTATCTAACTTTTGAGGAGAAATTATATTTAATATATAATTAATATAATTAGTATATTAAATTTATATTTATATTTTTAAATAATGTTCATAAATATCATATTTATTTATATAAAATATAATATAAAAATAATATTATTATGGTAGTAAAATATTATTTTAAATAATTACATTTTTACAAAAATATTTTTTTTTCATCCCATAAAATTATAAATAGTAAAATATTGAATATTAAAAATATAAAATATTTTAAATTCTCAAAATTATTAATATTTTAGTAAATTAAACTCTTTGTATATTATTATTATTTTCATAATTTTGAGTAAAACATAAAAAATAAGAATTTAGAAGAATCATTATAAAAAGAATTTATTTGTCCAAGGGTATTCTTGTCCAAAGTGGTGTGAATGTAAGATTACTCAAGAATTTAGAGTTAATGACATTCCCAACATTTTAACCAAAAATGCTACTATTAGGAAAAGAGTACTCTCGGTAATGTAAGATTTCGTGAACCAAACGTGAGAGTACAATTCCGAAAAAAACATTTCCCTTGGTAATGTAAGATTCCGCGAATGTAAGATTACTGAGAATGTTGTATTTTGTGTTTGGTTCGTTTAGCAGGAATGTAAGATTACAGTGTTTGGTTAAAAGAATAAAAGATTATTGGAATGTATATTTTACCAAATTGTCCTTATTATATATTTGTTTTTTAACAAGTTGAATTATACTATAATTAATTTATATATTTTCTTTAAAAATTTAAATTCATAAAATTTATATAATTTATTTTACAAAATTGAAAAGATAAATAGGTTTAATGAAAGGGTAAAATTTTATTTTAACCCCTGAACTTCATATAAAATTCTAATTATAGATTTTTTAATCTAGAATAGTTTAAGGATAAATTTGTAATTTAACCTCCATAGAATTTTTTTATTCAACGACAGAAGAAAAATATTTTTGAAAAAAAAAAATTAAGGGCATTTTAGTCCAAAACGTCGGGAATGTAACAATACCTAAGGGAAGAGGGTAATCATATTCCCGATAATATACTCCCAAAATATTACTGTTGGGAATAACTTATTATCGGGAGTTGAGAATGTTTGCCAACCAAACGGGAGAACGACATTCCATTCCCCTGATAATGTGAGATACCCTGAACCAAACTCCCGCTTAGGTTTTTGGGAATTACTACTTTTCTACTAATTTTGCCTTGTAAAGACTAAATATAAAAAATAAAAATAAATATATAGGGACTATAAATATAAAATATAAATATATAGGGACTAAAAAGGCAGTTTTTATCATAGCCTGAGTTTATAATGGTTGGATATTTTGTGATATGATTTTATTCTTCTGTTTCTTATTCTACAAATCCCAATAAGAATCCCAAAGTTGTAGAATGTGATTGAATTCTAAGCCTAAATTGCAATTGTATAGCTTCAGCTATTCAAACTGGCAATGGGATATTACAATCAGAATTCTCCTAATCTTGGCTGCAAACTGTACGGAGGATTTTTGCCTTGTAATAATTTTTAAACTTTCACGGTATGAATTATTCATCAAGACGGCGTTATTATATTAAAAATCCTCCATTAACTTTTCTTTTAGAAATAATCCCACCAGATTAGTTAAAAAAATAACTCACAAACTGTTCACATAGGATATTTCTGTAAAAAACGAGGTCATATCTCACATTTTACGAAAAGTGAGTTTCATGTATTTATTATTGTTTTTATCTAATATTAAATGATTTTATCTGAAAAGTAGACGAGTCTCGCTCCCTATAAAACTCGAGATCCATTAAATGCGTTTTATAAGATGCGAGATAATCTTACGTGGGTTGTTTGGGGTTGTATTTCTAACTAATCTGACATAAGGGTTATTTTAAAAAAAAAATAATAAAAATTAATGAGATTTTTAATATAAAAACGCCCATCGAGACTTCATATAAATTTTCATAAATTGTTCGTATAATTTATACTTATTTATTAAATTAAATAAATAATTAAAATTAAAACTTTTGCCTCCATTTAATAAACTAATAATTATAAACAAAGATATATTTGATTAGTTTATGCTCACTAATAATCTCGTTTATATTGACTCATTTATAAGCTCATTTACTTACTCGTTAACCTAATTATTTTTTCCTTTTTATTTTTTTCACTTTAAATGTGGGTGAAGATAACCACTAAATTAAACACATAATGAAATTTGGAGTTTAAATTGTGAAGCCTAAAGAATTAAAAGACTAGTGGCATAGTTTCACAATTTCTGAACATATAATTGAACATGTTTGCGAACGCTAAACTAACATGTTCTTTTTTTTATTGATATGGGATAAGTACAAGACATTACCTATTTATAGATATCTTTTAACGATTTGACATTGAACGTTTACACCCATGGTATTTCTGGTGCTCAAATCTTGGATCTCAAGGAATATTTGCGAACAATAAATATATGAACATAAATACAATATTAAAAATTTAAACTAATATAAACACCTTAAAAAATAAATAAACTAATATAAATATAATTTTAATCGTTTAAGCTTCGTTAGTTTATCCTCGTATCCAAATCTAACCCCAATTTTTACCTTTAGCTTCATGTCCAAGCCCAACTGCAAATTCTCAAGTTTGGGCCAACAGGGAATTATCTGTATGAAATGATAATAGGAGGGGCGTGTCGGAGCTTTAAAAGCCTTCAACTGTCTTCCATCGGGCCGCCTGGCAACTGTCACCGGAGCTGTGTTCGTGGCGTTTCAAAGTAGACACGTTGTACGAACACGTTGTACGAACAGAGCATGGCACGTCTTATACGCTCTCTAAGGCAATGGCCGCCGTTGCAGCTGCAGCAGAAGTACCACTGCTGCTCCCGAATACTTACAGTATCAACTAAAACCCCTTCCCATTGTTTCTCTTTCGCCATTTCAACTTCCTCCCGTGGGAACGCTCGTCAACGCTCACGAGGAATCGGATTATCCAATGCCCCATCTCCATATAAGGTCCAAGAAATTGAAACCGGCGACGATTCGGAATCCGATGTAAACAAGAGCCGCAACCAGAAGAAGCGCGAGGCTCGTCGCGCCGTCCGTTGGGGCATGGACCTTGCTTCCTTCTCGACCCCTCAAATCAAACGTATCCTCAGGCTCAATTCAATCCAAAAAACCATTTATTTTTTATATAAAAAAACATTTGAAATGGTATATTCTGAAAAAGTTAACATCTTTAATTTTTGGGATTTTATAGTGGCTTCTCTCGAACAAGATGCCTTTGATGCTTTGATGTTAGTTAAGGTACTTAGGAAAATGCAATTTTTTTTGTGAAATTTGAAATGGCAAAATATTTTATTGAAGACAAGATGTTTGTTTTTTTGTTGCAGAGATTAGGCCCTGATGTTAGAGAAGGAAAGAGAAGGCAGTTCAATTATATTGGTAAGTGAAGCTTATTCGATGCCAATTGATTTGCATTACTTTCATTTATACGCATTGTGCTCAATGCTTTGCGTTAGGGAAATTGCTGCGAGAAGCAGATCCGGAATTGATGGAAGCTTTGATTCAAGGTACAAAAGTGGGTGACCAGAAAACATTACAGGCTTTATCTGGTTCAAAGACACAAATCGTTGAAGAAGAAGATGATGAAGATCCATTCGAATATACTGTAATTTAAATTTGATTTTGAGACTTATAATAAGTTTAAGCCTATTACACTCACATATTGTGTTGTCTTACCATTTCTTTTACGTGCGGCAGTCACAAGAGTTCATTAACATTGCAAATAGATGGTTTGATGGGCTGATCAGCAAGGACATTGAAATCACAAACGAAGTATTTTCGGTTAGCAGTGTCGAATTTGATCGCCAGGTAAGCAAACCAAGTTATATGTCTCTCGTATGTTGCCGAAGTTCTCTTGTACACACTGCTTTGATCGGTATGTTAGGCATGCAAATCTGTCTAAATTCTTTGCCTGGATGCTCATCTTTTTGCTTTTATGTTCATTCACCATGTTGTTAAACTGTTACCGGCACAGAGTACTCTTCATACACAACTTAAAGCATCTCAACTAACTCGAACATAGAGGAATTAAACCCCAACCATAAGAAAGATTTGATTGAATCATTTGCAGTGCTCCTTACACCTGCAACCTATAATTATACTGCAGCCCATATACATAAGGAATTCCGAGTTATCCTCGGAAGAAGTGAAATAAGAGCCTGGCAAGTGGCAACAGCTGGGTGCAATTCGTCATCCCCGAGCTGTTGCTCCTCTGTTCGACAGGCGAAGTTGCTTGATATATTTGCCAGGAATTGCGTAAGGTTGATCGAGTAGTGTTGCTTTGACAGGAATTGCGTAAGCTTGATCGAGTAGTGTTGCTTTGACAGGAATTGCGTAAGCTTGATCGAGTAGTGTTGCTTTGACAGGAATTGCGTAAGCTTGTTCGAAGAGTGCAAACGAGTCAAGAACAAAGCCAGAATTCGACTGAAGAAGACAAGGCCAAAATAGACGCAGCAGTAAAGAATACTGAAAAGTCCCTCACCCGTTTTCTTCGTACCCTCGCCAAGCAATTGCCAACAGAAGAGAGTTTTGATTAATTTGTTCTGCAATATCTTCGTTTTTATTGGTTCGAAATGTAACATATTTTTGTACCATAATTAAACCCTTTTTCCTATGCATGAGGTATAACATGCGATTGAAGTCTTAGAAATTGTAAACTCCTCGAGACCACGAGGCATGTCAGTGGCCCAACCAATAAAGCAAGGTAAAAATGTGTTCCATTAAGAGCCATACTAAAATATCCACCGACAGACCAGGTGAACCTAGTAGCCATCTTACCTTTGACTTGGTTTTCTGCACCATCGACATTCAGTAATGGTCTTTGGGTTAGTTTTGAGAAAGCTCAATTTCCCTCATAAAAACCATGCTTCGCCATTGAAGAATCTCACTATTCCCCAACGCCCATTTCTGAACAAGAAGAAGAGTGTTGGATTTTGCCCATACCCCAACTTTCTCTTCTTACAAAACATTAACCTTAATGACTCAAATTAAATTTGAATCGTTGAACGTATTTTGTTTTGTTCAATGTTCCACTGTTAAGTGCCATCTTCTTTGGGCAGATTTTAGTTTGTAGCAGATAGGGCCAGCTTAATAAGTCACCAGGATATTTATATTTCCACCCGATTCGGGCACGAATACCCCCGTGCCTAATTCAATGTACCAGGTAACTTGAAGGCCACAAAGGCAGGTTGATCTCCCAATTATTTAACAGATCAAGTCAAATTCAAATACTTTAACATCGGATTTGAATTTATTTAAAATTTTATTCTAATACATTTAATTTTAAAAAATAAATGATACTCGAGCTTTGAACTAAAGACAAGTCCTGGCGACTATACATTAACTCCACCATCATCAAATGCTTTCTTTTATGGAAGTTTCTAGAATTGAAAACGCGTTGATGATGTAGTTTCTTTGGATTCCCTTGAGAGGGACTGGAACAAAATGAGGAAAAACTCAACAAATGCATATCACCTGAGGCTTCAGACAATCTACAAGACTACAACTCATCCTTCAGATCAGGAGACTCATCTGTACTAGGTTCGGCTTTGCCCTTCGGAGTGCCCGAACCTGCTTTTGTCTCGGCCTCTTCTACATCCTCCTCCTCCTCAATTGTTGCATCCGGACTGATACTTAGGCTAGATTGAACCGAGCTGTAGATGCGCGAGGCGAAATCCTTGGGGTTGGGTAGAGAGAAGCCACTCTCCATTAAAGCTGTCTGATATATAAGCTGAGCCGTTTCCTTCGCACCTTCATCCTGAATATGCACCAGTGTAATGGGTGAAAAAAGATGAAGGAAAATTACTAATGCCTATAGAACATGGCGTCGATCGACATGCATGTTTCGGTTTGAATGTTCATACCTCTGGGTCCTTAACAACTCTCTCACGAAGCTCCTTGATAATTGGGTGCCTCGGGTTGATTTCAAGGATCCTCTTGCCCTTCATGTACGATTGCTTTCTCGCATCTGCTAGTGTTTGAGCTTGCATGATTCTCTCCATGTTAGCGCTCCATCCGAACTTCGATGTGACGACCACACAAGGAGTGTTGTCCAAACGGTTGCTTATTTTCACCTCATCAACTTTGTCAGTGGTAAGTGCACCCTTCCACCATTTGGTTAGTTCCTTAAATGACTCCTTGAGTTCTTTGTTCTTGTCCTTCCCAAGTTTTAGGCCTTCCTTGGACACATTTTGGAACTGTTTTCCTTCATAATCCATCAGGTATTGCATCAGGTATTCGTCAACTGGATCGGTGAAGAAAATGACCTGAAAATAACGAATACCATTAGAAACGAAATAAACCAATACAATCATAGATCATATGGAGTAAAACAAGTAATAGGAAGTTAACAGCTACCAGTTTCGCAGTACCTCATAATTTTGCTTCTTAAGCCTCTCCAGGAACGGAGACTTTTCCAACTGTTCCTTGCTCGTTCCTGTAATGTAGAAGATATCTTTCTGCCCCGATTTCATTCTTGATATGTACTTATCCAGTGAAGTCAGTTTACCATCTGACTTAGTGCTGCGTTGCAATTAATACATTATTAACTACAGAAGACGAAGATTCTTCTGAAGAAATTAAAGATAGCCTCAAAAGCTAATACCTCTGGAAGCGAAGAAGTTTAGACAAGCGATTTCTGTTGGATGCATCCTCAATGATACCGAGTTTAATGGACTTTCCAAATTCATTCCAGAACTTAGTATATTGACCCTTCTTCTCATCATCATCATCGTCTGATTTTTCAACTTCTGCATCCATGTCAATATTCAGGTTCAATCACTAACCGATAAACAACTTAGCATAGAAGGGTTTCAATTTAAAAGTCCTCAGAAGCAATTATGCCATACCTTTCCCGTCTTTGCCACTGGACTCGTCAGGATCCTCCTCAGCAATTTTGCGTATCATATCAAGGGCTTTCCTGATGAGTTTCTTCTTGATTGTTTTCAAACTGCTGTGAGCTTGTAGCATCTCTCGAGATACATTGAGTGGTAGAGTATCAGAATCAACAATACCCTGCTCAATAGGTTATCCAATAATAAACACTATCAGATAACAAGAAAATAAAGTGCTTATTTAAGTCATCTAAAAAAAAACTTAGCATTATCTTCAATTACCTTCAAAAAGCTAAGAAACTTTGGCAAAAGCTCATCAAATTCGTCAGAGATAAATACCCGTCTAACATACAACTTCAAGTTGGATTTAGCTTTATAGTAACTGTCGTACAGATTATGAGGAGCTTTAGGAGGCACGTACAAGACAGCCTTGAATTCAACATCACCTTCAGCGGTGAAGTGGCTCCAGGCCATGGGCTTCTCAGCACTAAAGTCCTTCAGAGTTAACACATATAAACAACAATAAAGGTTAGTAACTTATCCGAAATGTTTTCAGCAGTCTGAAGCTAGGAAATTTATGTCAAATTACCTTTGCCAGAGTGTGATAGAATTTTATGTATTCATCTTCTGTCACATCCTTTGGACTGCGCAACCATATTGCCTTAACATCATTCAGAAGTTCCCATTCGTAAGTAGTTTCCTTCACCGTCTTTTTCTTTGGTTTCTTTTCAGTGTCTTCATCCTCGCCTTTTTCAGCATCTTCATCTTCTCCTTCCTCAGATTTAGTCTTATCAGCTGTTTGTATCAATAAAAGAGAATGAGACCAAATACTTTGATCAGGACATGCACGCTCTGACAGTATTACGATAAAATGGCATCAGCAAGTTTTAAATTAACATAAATATGCTTCTTTCATTGATACATACTGGTTTCCTCCTCATCACCGGAATCATATTCATCTGCAGGAACCTCAACATCAACCTCTTTACTTGCCCAGATAGAGATGGGGAAATTGATGAATTCAGAATATGTCTTCACCAATTCCTGCATATGACAGCCACAGGCAGTCAGGCACGCAGCATGCTTTGTTAACATATCTTCAAAAGCCAAAGCAAAAATAAAAACAAACAAGACTTGAGCTATATTAACCAGGGATTAAAATAGCGGCCGGATAAAGGTGTCGCGGCTGCATCCGAGACCGCTATCGCTGAAAATTGAAAATAGCGATGTGCAGCGGAATCACACCAATAGCGGCCAGTCGCAGCTGCAATTTAACGGATAACGGACAATCGCGGCTATCACGGACCACTATTCCGCTATTCCTATTCCGCTTTTTTTTCCGTTATTTAATTTTTAAAAAATCAGGGTCTTTTTTTAAAAATCAACTCATTTGGAAAAAGTTCACGACCGCGATACTCGTAATAACCGCAATAACATCCGTCATATCCGCAATCGCGATAAACACAACATGATCGAAAACTTGGTCGTGACCGCAATGTAAATCCCTGATATTAACCTTCAATTTGTTTTCCTCTAAGTACTCCTGTGCTTCATCCCTAAGATGCAATCTAATCTCAGTTCCACGGCCCAGTGGTTCATTCCAAGTATCCTCAGAAATTGCAAATGCCCCATCGGCCTTCGATTCCCATACATACCTAAAAAATTATTCATTAAACGATTATTTAAAAATGAGTCAAACACTTTTATTAAAACTACATTAAGGTTTAGCGGTCTCACTGTTTGTCATCGTTGTGCTTACTAATGACTTCAACATAGTCAGCTACAAGATATACGGAGTAAAACCCAACTCCAAACTGCCCAATCAGATTAAGGTCTCCACTGCTCTGCATTTTCTCAACAAAAGCTGCACAGAGAAAATAAACAATCCTTTCTATTTACATAAATAATATTAATAAACTAAAATCACTTAAGGAAATGAATCAAAGATTTATTTACCAGAAGTTCCAGATTTTGCAATTGTTCCCAAGTTCTTGATTAAATCTTCTTTTGTCATTCCTATACCTCTGTCTCGAAGCAAAAGGATTTTCTTCTCTTTATCCAACTTGATCTGCAATTTTCATCAGATTATAAGGCTCAGAAAAGAGAGTTTTACATGCTTCAATACCGAAACAGAATTTCTACATTTACACGCTTCAGTTCTGAAACATAATTTCTACGTTTACATGCTTCTTGTATAACGTTCTTCTAGTTATTCGGTTACCGGAATATTCTACATTTTTATTTCTATAAAATAAAGTTTTAACGCAGAACTAACCTGGATCTCCAGCTTGGCAGCGTCACCTTCGCCCAAAACTTCCTTGTCAGTGAGGGAAAGGAACCTAATCTTGTCCAACGCCTGAATTCCAAAACAAGTATCCATTTAAATTTGGAGTTAAAAAACAAGAACAAAAAAACAATCACCAAAGAATGAAGGAAAACTCACATCAGATGCATTGGAGATCAACTCTCGGAGGAAGATATCCTTGTTGCTATACAGAGAATTAACAATAATATCCATAAGCCGAGACACCTCAGCTTGGAATTCAAATTTCTCTGCATTATTGCGAAGTGATCTAGAAGAGATCGATTCCGATTCCCTACGGGAAAAAATATTTTCCGATTCAAAATAAAAAAAAATGAAATTAAAAGTCATCGAATAGTAAATTCTTAAACAATATCATGCCAACCTTTTAACAACATCAGAATCGGTTTGTAAACCGTGAGGCACAGCGCCGATATTTTCCTCCACTTTTGGAGAGCCTACGGCTCCTCCGTCGGCCTTTGCTTGAACTTTTCTATCTGAAACAACCGTAGATACGGATTCAACATTCAAACGCTAAAGGAGAAATCGATAAAAAAATATATGAAAAGAAAAAACGGCGTAAGCTTACCTTGATTTGAGAGGAGACGGAGAAGGAAAAGAAGAACCAAAGCGGAAGGGACCGCCCACTTCCCCATTGTTTGCTTTTTTAAGCTTCGCCTGAGTGGGATTATGAGTTACAAAAGCTTTCAATATACTGAACTCATAGAATAGTTTAGGAGTGTTCTTAAATAGCTGAGGTTTTAGCATTTCCAAAGATTTTTTTGTTAGATTTTGGGCCTTTTACTAGAATTGGATTATTTTGGTTATTAGTGCCAGCGTGGACGATCTGACGGTCAAAGGTTTTATTTATTGCAACGTGGCGACGTTTTATTGGGAATGCTTAGTTTGTTCGACGTGGAGATTTGGTCGGTCCCACAGGAGAATACATCGACTCCTTCGCTTACTTGGTCAGCGAAGTGGACGATCGAACGGTTTTGCTTTTAGAAACGTGGCACATTATGGTTGGGTCCGGTTCCCTAGGATGATTGGCATGAATTAAGATTTCTATTTATATGGGAATGTTTCGTTCGGGGAATACTGAACTACCACTGACTACTAAATTTAGGCTAAATCTGTTAAAGAAAATACTTAATAAGAATCTTTAAAAGTTAATTGATTTTTTTATTAAAAATACCTGTAATTGAGTTGAATTTAAAAATATCAATTGAATTTTTTTTATTATTAAAATTTAGAGTAAAATATAATAATAGTCTCCAAACTTTTAGGGTACTTGCATTTTGGTCACCCAAATTTTAAAACTTGCAATACAATCATTGAATTTTTAGTTCATTTTCAATAAGGTTCATGTCATTACCTTCCGTTAGTTTTTACTGACGTGACACTTAACTGCCGTTAACTTTCTGAGTTGACAATTTCTTTTCTTCCTCTTCTTGCAACTTCATTTTCTTCTTCTTCTTCTTCTTCTTCAAAACTCTAACTAATCATTTGCAAATCAAAAACACATATTTATAGTAAAAATAAAAAAAAATTCAATCCAAATGAGAAAATATATAAATACAATAATACAATAATCCTGTAAATAAAATGAAAATCATTACCATGTTTACGCATATAAGGAAGTGTTCCCACCTCAAGCAACTTAGCAATTTGGGGGATTCTTTCACACTAAAGATGCAATTCGAACATCTATTCTTTCGCACAGATGGAGATATCTCTTCCCTTATGTAGACACCAGTTTTTTTCGGGTCGAAAATATTACAATAATAATAATAATAATAATAATAATAATAATTATTATTATTATTATTAATATTTTTATAAATTATTATCTACCACTACCTAATCCAACCTACCACTACCCATTACCTAACCACTAATCCCACTCCACTACTACCGAACACCAATATTAATTTGTATAAATCGAACCAATAATTTGGATATGGGGGAGGCAATACAGGGCGTGAATGCACTGAAAGAGTAGTGGGTGAGTATTAAAATTCTTTCGATTTCCCTGTCTCCGTCTCTCTGTCAGTAGTATTTTCCTTCTCTATTTTCCCTCTGTCTCTCTCCTTAACAATCCCTTCATGCGGAACCATAAAGCTGGTAACAAACCCCAGAAAGAGGAAGAGAAGAAGAGAAATTTCTTCCAACAAATCAAAAAAAGAAGAGAGAGAGAGGTGTTATGGCCTCTCAGCCATGGCACAAAACCACCTAGCACCTCCCGGTCTCATCCTCCATTGCCTGTCGCGCCTTCCTTGCCTTGCTTGCTCAGTTCCTCCACTTATAGATGAGCTGAAATCTACTGAATTAACCCACATCAAATACTGTTGTGAAGTGAGTAAACCGACCGAACCGCTCTTCACTCTGATCATCAACAATCTCGCATATGCCCAGGATTTTGTTTCCATCGAAAACATCATGGAAAATCTCAAACGCGAAAAAGCTTGTCGTTTATCCGGTGATTTCTTCCAGAATGTGGTTAAAAATATGGGCACGTCAGAGGTCGAATCAGACGGGCGATCGAGACCCCTTTTTATGACGGGACACGAGACTTGGCCTGGTGTAAAGACCTTCAATGTCGTATTGAGCTTACTCATGAATAATAAACTCTTTGATGTTGTTCACGAGGTTTATGTGAAAGCTCCCGATTTGGGTATTGAAAATGAAGCTTATACTTTGGATATTCTCGTTAAAGGGTTGTGCGAAAATGGAAAACTGGAGTTTACATTCCAACTGCTCGATGGATTTCCTAAACAAAGGTGAAAGCCAAATGTTAGGATTTATACGTTAGTGTATGGGTTGTGTGGAGCAATCTGTTTTGTTTTAAGTGAGAATGCAAATGAATGGAAAAGCCACATGGTTTTGAACCTTGGGTAAATTCTCCATATGATCCTTCAACCATTATGGGTTTTATTTTATTTTATTACTTTATTTTATTTTATGATTTTATTTTTTTCCTTTGATTTATATAATATTTATTTAATACTTTTTATCTAATATTTTTTTTTGATCTTTTAGAGGATTTATTCGATCAAAAATAAGTAATTTGAATCGAGTTTTTAAATTTTAACTTTCGCAATTAAGACAACCGACAAATTAATTGGTACCGAAAGGACAGTACAAGGGTGCTAATCCTTCCTTCACTGTAATTGATTCCCGAACCCAACACATTTCTGGTAAAGCGCAAATCAGGTAAGATGATGTCTGATCCACCTAAATGTTTTTAATTGATGGGTGACGACTACTAATCATTTAATCCAAGTCGAAGTCCAATTCTGGGTCCACCCGAAAGACGACCGCGACACCTTCCATGTCTACCCTTGATTTTGTTGATAGGTTACTGTTTCTCCCAAATCAGGTGAGTTTAGAATGCTTTAGGCTGTATGATCCTAGTCCTACTTCACGAGATGATGATTGTTTATGTTGAAAGTCAAATAAGGTGGCTGTACAATTTGTCAAATTGTGCTACAAATTTCGGTGGAGAGTTGAAGGAAAAAAAACAAAACAATTAATTCCACCGAAAAATTGGTTGAAAAAGTTGAATGGTAAAATCTCAATTTTAGTCATTGTAATTTAGGATATTTACAAATTAGTCCTTAAGCTTCAACTATAAATACCCTAGCTCATTTAGCTTCAGAACCATCCCAAAGCATTCTAGCTTTCTTCAAATACTAGAGATAATTTAGAGAGTTTCTTGAGAGTTGTTTTCTCCTTTTTATCAAGAGAGAATTATCATTATTTTCACCTTGATAGATCGAGATCGGTTGTAATTCCTATTTTCTCATAGTGAAATTCTTTTACCGTTGCCCGTGGTTTTTTATCATATATTATTTAGGGGTTTTCCACGTAAATTTTGTGTCTTCTTTATCTTCAATTTTATTTTCTCAAATTATCAGTTGCGATTTTGCTCTATCCGATAGCCGTCTTCCTCAACAATTGGTATCAGAGCCAGATTTGAGTGTGTAATATATGCTTATTGTCTTTGTGGTTGCCACTAAAAGGTGGATCCTCCAACATAAGAAAGTAAGAAAATATTACCCATTCTTTGAAGGTTCTAGAGAACTATTCACGATAGTGAAATAGTGGGAGTTATCAGTAATAGAAGTTATGAAAACAAAATTTGATATTGAAAAATTCAATGGGAGAAATTTCTCATTGTGGAAATTAAAGATGAAAGCTATCCTGAGGACAGACGGTTGTCTAGTAACTATCAGTGAAAGGCCGGTGGATTTCACATATGACAACAAATGGATTGAAATGGACGAGAATGCTATGGCAAACTTTCATCTAGCATTAGCAGATGAAGTATTGTCAAACATCGAGGAGAATAAGACAACTAAGGAGATATATGATCATCTCACCAAATTGTACGAGGCCACATCATTGCACAATAAATTTTCCTTAAGAGAAAATTATTAACTCTCCGTATGCCAGAATCTACTTCAGTGACAGAGCACTTAAATAAACTGAACACTTTATTTTCTCAGCTTACATCATTAAGCTGTAAAATAGAAGAACAAGAACGTGCTGAAGTTCTACTTCAAAGTCTACCGGATTAGTATGATCAACTCATCATCAACTTAACAAACAGTAATGTCACCAGTCTAGTCTTCGATGACGTTGCAACTGCTATTCTACAAGAAAAAAATCGGCGCAAGAACAAGGAAGACAGACAAGTAAATCTACAACAAGCATAAGCGTTGACAACGATAACAACGATGAGAGGGAGATCAATAGAACGTGACAAAGCAGCAGTGACAAACATGGTAGATCGAAGTCGAGGAGCAAGAAGAATTTAAAGTGTTACAACTGTGGAAAGAAGGGTCACTTGAAGAAGGATTATTGGAGTCTAAATAAAAACTCCAATCTACAAGGCAGTACCGCAAACACTTCAGATGATGGAAATGCTCTATGATGTGAAGCGTCAACCACCGTGGAAGGCAGAAAAAAATTTGCAGATATATAGCTCATTGATTTGGGAGCAACATATCACATGATCTCAAGAAGAGAATGGTTCCATCATTATGAACATGTCTTAGGAGGATCTGTGTATTGTTGCAATGATCATGCCTTAGATATCGTTGGTGTGGGAACCATTAAATTGAAGATGTATGATGAAACAATTAAAGTTGTTTGAGATGTGCGGCACGTGAAAGGCCTGAAGAAAAATTTATTATCATACGGATTGTTGGATAATAATGCAAGCAAGATTGAAACACGGAAATGAATCATGAAGGTGTTCCGTAGAGCACTTGTGGTGTTGAAATGTGAAAAGATAGCTGCAAACTTATACATGCTGAAGGGAGAGACTTTGCTAGAAGAAGAATCCTCTGTTGCCTCATGTAGTTCAGATTCTACAATGCTATGGCATCAGAAACTTGGACACATGTCAGAACAAGGAATGAAAGTCCTTGTGCAGTAAAAGCTACTTCTAGGCTTAACAAATGTATCACTTCCTTTGTGTGAGCATTGCATAACAAGTAAGCAACACCGGTTGAAATTCAACACATCAAATTATAGAGGTAAAAGTGTTCTAGAATTGGTTCACTCTGACGTATGGCAAGTACCAGTACATCCCTAGGCGGAGCAAAATATTTTGTCTCATTTATTGATGACTACTCTAGGAGATGTTGGGTGTACCATATTAAGAAGAAGTCAGATGTGTTTTCAATTTTCAAAAACTTCAAGGTGCAGGTGGAACTTGATTCTGGAAATAAAATCAAGTGTTTCAGAACAGATAATGAAGGAGAATACACAAGTGAAGAATTTGATGACTTTTGCAAGAAAGAATACATCAAAAGACAGTTCACAGTGGCGAACACTCCTCAACAAAATAGAGTGGCAGAGCGGATGAACAAAACCTTGTTAGAAAGAACAAGAGCAATATTGAGGGATGTAGGCCTAGAAAAATCATTCTGGGTAGAAGCAGTCAATACCGCCTGTTATTTGGTGAATCGAGCTCCATCAACTGCAATAGAGCTGAATACACCAATGGAGATGTGGACTGGTAAACCAACTGATTATTCAAACCTCCATGTATTTGGAAGTATTGTGTACGTGATGTACAACTCCCAAGAAATTTCAAAGCTGGATCCAAAATTCAGGAAATGCAAATTCTTGGGGTATGCTGATGGAGTAAAGGGGTATCGCTTGTGGGATCCCACTACCCGCAAAGTGATCATTAGCAGGGATGTTATATTTGTAGAAGATAAACTACAAAGAAAAGAAGAAGATGGTAGCGCTGAAAAGTCAGAGACTACACAGACACATATGGAAAAGGATGTTGAACAAGGAGATTCTTCTGAAGAAGAACCAGCACATGAAGAACAAGAACCAGAGAGTTCTGAAACTCCAACAACTCGTAAATCAGATCGTGTGAGAAGACGTCCCAATTGGCACTTAGATTATGTTATAGAAGGAAATATTGCATACTGCCTTTTAACAGAGGACGGTGAGCCATCAACATACTAGGAGGCAATAAACAACTCAGATGCTTCACTATGGATGATGGCGATGCAAGAAGAAATCGAAGCCCTTTATAAAAATAATACATGGGACCTTGTGTCACTACCACAAGGAAGGAAGCCAATTGGTAACAAATGGGTCTTCAAAATCAAGCGAAATGGTGGCGATCAAGTTGAGAGGTATCGTGCAAGACTGGTGGTCAAAGGATATGCTCAAAAAGAAGATATTGATTTCAATGAAATATTTTCTCCTGTGGTTCGACTAACAATAGTTCGAGTAGTCTTGGCAATGTGTGCTACATTGAATTTACATCTAGAGCAGCTAGATGTTAAAACAACTTTTCTTCATGGAAATCTTGAAGAAGAGATTTACATGCTCCAGCCTGAAGGTTTTGAAGAAAAAGAAAAGAAGAACTTGGTTTGCAGGTTGAACAAATCTCTGTACTATCTAAAGCAGACGCCGAGGTGTTGGTATAAGAGATTTGATTCCTTCATTATGTGCCTTGGATACAACAGACTTAATGCAGACCCTTGTGCTTATTTCAAGAGGTCTGGTGATAATGATTTTGTTATATTATTGTTGTATATGGATGACATGTTGGTTGTAGGACCCAATAAAGATCATATTGAAGAATTGAAGGCACAACTGGCTAGGAAATTTGAAATGAAGGACTTGGGATCAGCAAATACGATTCTAGGGATGCAAATTCACCGAGACAGAAGTAATAGGAAGATTTGGCTTTCACAAAAGAATTACTTGAAGAAGATCTTGTCACGATTCAATATGCAAGATTGTAAGCCAATTTCTACCCCTCTTCCTATTAACTTCAAATTATCCCCCAGTATGAGTCCTAACAGTGAAGAAGAGAGGATGAAGATGTCTCGAGTACCGTATGCATCAGTAGTGTGAAGTTTAATGTTCACTATGATATGCACAAGACCAGACATTGCACAAGTAGTAGGAGTGGTTAGTCGGTACATGGTGAATCCAGGCAAAGAGCATTGGAATACAGTAAAGAGGGTTTGAGATACATCAAAAGGACCTCAAATATTGCATTATGTTATGGAGTATCAAATTTACTTATCAATGGGTATGTTGATTATGACTATGCAGGGGATTTGGATAAAAGCAAATCTACTACAGGATATGTGTTCAAAATTACTGGTGGAGCTGTAAGCTGGGTTTCAAAATTATAGTCAGTTGTGGCTACGTCAACAACAGAAACATAATATGTAGCAGTTATACAAGCCAGTAAAGAAACAATTTGGTTGAAGATGTTATTGGAGGAACTTGGGCAT